GTGCTCTTCCGATCTCCCCAAAACCCCAAAACCCCACGAATATTAATTTAGAATAAAATGATGAATTAATAAAAAGGTAATTAAGAATTATAAGAATAATATATGGCTGAGTAACAGTAGCAACCGCATCAACCAGTTGCAACATCAAAACCAATCAAGTTAGTCACACAGGCTATTACTGGCAGCATAATTCCTCCAGTTTTTAACTCTAATGTGCACTCGAGGGCCTAGAGTTAAGCTATGAAAAACTCTACTGGTAGTCAGTTGAGTTAAATTGATAATTCAGTGTCATCTTAAGGATAGGACAAGATACCATTGAACCAAAACCCTTTTAAGTACCTGTACAAATTGAGATATTAAAATCCATCAATAAAAGAAAATTAACAAAAGTAATATATTGATCAGCTTCCAGCCCTTGTTAACAATACCTAAGACGATTTCTTTTAGAAGAAATTCGACTAATATCTGTAAAAGGTTTCTGATCCAAAATTTAGCAAAACCACTACTTCTAATTTCTTAAATAAAATGACTACAACTAATACACTCGCAATGACTTAAACTATGAATTAATCAACAAGTTCGAGATTTATGGAAACAATGAGCAATAAGAAAATGCTCAAGACAAATGGATCACTTAGAAACTTGAAAGCATTAGAGCCTTTGAAATTCAGATCTAATAGCCACACGTAAAGATCAAGTTCTTAACAAAATAAAATCGATATTTAGCAGGTGCAGTTCAATCTAAATAAGTTAAATGAACTTGATAAAACACCTGGCTATGATGAGTTTGGCAATACTGACGATTTTAATCAAACTTGGAGGAACACCTCTTTGGGAAATTTACGCACCTATTCTACGAAGTTCAATGATACTCACTTTAATGCTGGTAATACTACTGGAGGATTCCATACATCTAGAAGTACTTTAAGTTAATAATAGATAAAAGTAGAGTAAAATATTTAGACGTACAGGGATTGGAACTAGGCAAACTAGCTCTTAAAAAATAATCGAGATTTTCACCTGGATATGACAAATGACATGCATGAATTTCAAGCAGATAGATACTATAATACTATTAAGGATTTCAGCGAGTATGTGCATAAAATCAAAGATATGCCTGTGATCAGGGTAAGTAAAAAGAAAGAGCCTAAGGAGAATGAAGACTTTAAGATTTAAAAGGGATCTAATCATGAGAAAAATAATCAGAAAAATCTACAACAAAAGCATGTGTACTATAATTCTTTGATATCATCTGATATGAAACTATATTGGGAGAAGATCCCAGCCATGAAATGGTCTCCTGATTCCAGAGAAGGAGCTACATTTTTATGTGTGGAGTAGAAGGTATTTTTATTTGGAGGACTAAGCAGCAAACTACATAAAGATACTGAGATTCTAAATGCTTCTACTTGGAGATGGCTTAAACCTCAGGAATTCAAAGTTAGACACCAACCGAATCCGAGATACAATCACTCAGCAGTCATATATTTCGATCATATAATTGTCTTTGGTGGCTAATAAACATACAATCCATAAACCAAAATAAGGAATACTCTCAATGACCTGCTTTTATTTAATACTTGTAAGATTAGTAAAATTATTTATATATTCAGAAACATTTGAATGGGAGTAAATTCATTATGGGGGGATGTTCTTTTCTAGAAAGTAACATGTAGCAGCCATTGTTTCACATCACATGCTTCTTTATGGAGGATGTAATGATGAAGGCATATATGAGTCTGGACTATTAGCTTTGAACTTAGGAACATTCAAATGGATGCCATGTCCAACTGATGGAGAAGATCCTGGCAAACTTATCAATCAAACTTGCTGCTCAGTAATTCACCCAGAGCGTGCCACTAAAAAATCATTTTCTCTGTTCAAAAATCCCTCTGAAATGAAGTATCGTTAGTTTAGTAGAATCAAGCATGAGGGTGTTTATTTCTTTGGTGGTAAGAGACCAGATGGTTTTTCAACGAATAATCTACATATTCTAAGAATTGGAATAAAGCCATTACAATGGTTCTAGCCAGAAACTAAAGGCACCCCTCCTCCACCAAGATACGGTCATAGTATGAACTATTTCGAGTCTATGAACTGCCTAGTAATATTTGGTGGTAGAAATGACACTCTCCTTGAGAAAAGATATGACTTTAAGGAAAACTTTCTAAATGATCTGTGGCTATTGCATCTTGAAAATATGACTTGGATCAGAGTTAGCAATATAGGCGATGTTCCAAGTCCAAGGTATTGCTTCAGCTCAGCAATATATGGCTCAAGATTAGTTATATTTGGAGGGTTAAATTCTTAAACATATAACAACTCAGATCTATATATATGTGAGCTTGATCCTTTGCTTTCTAGATAGTATGAAGCTGAAAAAAATAGAAAAATTCTAGATTTCAAGAAGGAACTTGCCCGTAACAAGTTCAGTGGAGAGGATGCCTAGTCTTAAACTGCTTAGATACTTCAGAAATATTTCGGAGAAAGACTTAAAAACAAAAAGATGCCCTTGCCAATCAACTTGATAACTTATCTTGAGAACCGTCACCAGGCAATTGAAAAGTAGAAAAATCTTTAAAAATAAATTCAAAAGAGCAATAACCATCTCACAACTTATTAAATAAACAGTTCATAGCAAAATTCTTAAAACTCCAAAACCCCCAATGATCAGTTGATTGAGGGTCTTCAGCAGTTCGTAGTCAGTGCAGGTGTGTCTAGAATAGAAGAAGATTAGGAATTCGAGGGAGATAGTTAGAAGAGCCTGGTTGAGAAGCACAATGTAGATGAGGACTCAATGATGAACAACTAGGGTATCAATTAGTATTTGGGGAGAAACAATATTCAAGTTGAAGGTGCCTATGAACTAAAAGACACATCGTTTGAAGATTCTTATGATCAATCACCTGCTAATAAAAGGTGAATGATTTAAATATTATTCTATGCAATAGCCTTAGGTACCACTATATTTTTATTAGACCAATCATTTTAATTGAATTTTAAAATATTCAAAGATTGCCATTTAAATTTTACTAATACCACATTTTTATGTGATGTATTACTAGAGGGGTTTTGGGGTTTTGGGG